GAGGTACCACCGGAGTGAAAATAGAGGCGTCGCTTTATTATATCGCCAGATGCGAGCTGTACCACGACCTCGTCAGTCGTCGTGAAATTCGAGACGTGCGAAATACCGAACGGCTAGATATAAATTCCACGTCTTCCCGTCTCCGCGAACAAACCCGAAAAGCAAATTCATTCCGACGGTTTGCCACGACGTGGTAAAACGTCATAACGTGTCACTTATCTGATAACGAATAGATAAATAGTGTATCGGTTTATCTTGTTGGTCATAATATGTAAGTTGTAAATGCTTGCGTCGAGTGGCGCACAACTTTATTATTAATTAGTTATCTAAATTAGTTGGATTATTGTGATTGACAATTTTAATTTTGTATATCTACAAAAGCAAGTATTCATAATTTCTATAAATTTTTATAATATTTCTTGTTCTTTGTATAATAAATTAAATACACAAATGAATAGATAAAATATATTCAACAACTCAATAATTGCTTCATATTTTAATTAATCGGCAAATGTATATAATTTTTACTTGTTAACTTAAATATATCTCAGCTACGATATTAAAAATAATATGATATCAGATTAATGCTATTAAAAAAATGAGAGTAATTCAGATTTCTATATCAAAATTAAGCAGATGCTAAGATATTAATTACCACAATATTTTAGCAAAAAGATAATGATAGATTTAAACCGTTAAAAGACGCGAAAAATCGCAAGTATGCGCGTTCGCCATCCAGCGCGAGCGTCAAAGGGAAATAATCAGATAGGAATGTCGTAAAATATTAAGTAATAATCTCCCAAGAATCCGAGTCCGCCTTAAGTATCGTCTTGTGTGATAAAATATCGTCAGCCGTGACGCGATATCGTTATTAAAGCGGCTAGTAAATTATTGAACATTGCAAGGGATGTCACTACGAAGGGAGGAGAAACAAAAAGGGAGAAAATCCCGGCGACGCGGCGCGCATGAATTAACAAGGTCCACTTAATTAAGGAGTTGGTACCGCGTATTAACGGCTGTTACGCCGCTTCGTTGCTCGAGCCTCGGAGATCTTAAAGCGGCTTCTAATTATTCACTTTCTCCGCGGCGCAACGACCGGGACTTACGGGCTTGCGTCGCGGTCCATGTAATCTCTCGACGATACCTTTGGCCGCGGGAACGGCAACAATTCGTTAATCGGGAGTCGCGGGTAATCGAAACAGTCGTTCTGAAAGAGGTCGTTCACCGGATAACTTCCTTCTTTTATGACCGGTTTACACGGAGGTTCGGTGTAATAGTAACAGTAATAGAAAGTGTTTATTGCTGTTTTAAAGATCCTTTGAAGACTAAAAGAAGTACACGGTAATGATTTTTAAGTGGCTTGTATTGTGGGAAACAAATAATGAGAAAATAAATTTAAACCTCACCCGCTTTTTTGTAGAAAACTTATTACAATTAATAGCAAAATATTTTAAAAAATTAAACCTTAAAAAGATATGATTAAAATCCCTTCCTTATCTTAAATTATTAATTTAATTTAGATTTAAAAAATTATTTTCGTGTACATAATGAGCATTTGTGGTGGAAAATAATTAAATTTATATAAATTATTCATGTTGCATGCAGAAGATTGTTTCGCAAAAAGCAAAGATACTGCTTTTGCTTAAGATGCTTAACGAGAGGCACGCCAGCTAGCTCTTACTATCAAATCTCACGTGCAGCGGTGCTCCGTGAAAGCGCTCTTATTCGAGATAAATCGAAAAATCGTCGGAAAAAATTTAGATCGGTTGGCCTGTCATAGAGCATCAAACGAGAAAATTATCGCGAACGAGACCGAGATCGAGGCTAAAGACGGTCACCGTGAGACCGCTTTCTACTCGTGCGTCTCGCAAGCGGGGTAACGCGAACACGCTAGATACATGTCGATAATTATCGATCACGTAAATCTCGGCTGTAATCAAGAGTGCACTCGCTTAGAAAGAGTGTATGCTTTGCTAAGAAACGTCAAAATAGAACACCGCACGTTTCTCAGCTCTCCTGAACAATTTAATTCATAAGTATATTATCGGCGATAATTACAAACGACATTCGAGCATTACATGGGGCTCGTGACACAGTGATGGATAAACGCAGTTTCGCAACAACGAAAAGGTTATTGTTGAGATCCGCAATAGTAATGAGATTTAACAACACATCTCCGCCTGACATTTCCTTCATAATTCAAGAATATCGAGAAACGGCCAGGTTTTTTTCTTAATTAATAAGCAGTCGTTTCTATAAGGAGAATCTTACGGTTTTTCCTAAAGGTTACCGCACACATGTCCGCGACGTAACGGCACAGCTCCTCCGCGAATTGTTATTATAATTTTTATTGTATTGTCAATCCTTCCCCCTCCCCCCCCCCCTCACGACAATTGTATTTTCATTTAACGGTACCGTCCGCGGATCCTCGACGCGTCAATCAAATCGCACATGTCGCGCAGCGTAGTTTTAATAGAGAAAATTGCAACGGTTGGAGGAAACTAGTGTTCACCGTCGTTCCCATTAAACGAGCATTAATCATCGGACCGACAACCTGACGAGGCAGCGGTCGTGTTACCGAGCCTCTTGGCGAGTCGCCGCCAACCAACGCCCCGAAAACAGCTTCATCGGAAAATGCAACTCTTCGGCGCGCGATTATTGAAGAATAAAAAAAAAAGAGGGGAAAAAAGCCCGTATTCATACGACGTGTTAACTACGGTATATTCCGTATCGGGGAGAAAGTTTAGAAAGGAAACAACAAGCGCGCGCGTGCGCTCGTCGTCATAAATGTAAAATAAAGCCGGAACGGCTCCGTTTACGTGTTCCGCCGAAGTCACGTTTTCGCGGCGCGCGAATCGCCACGCGAGATCGTGGAAAAACGTATCGTGCGAGCGTTACAGCGCGAGCCGGAGAGGATACGGCGTCCGCTCCTATCCTCACTTTCTCGATAATGAGCAAATTGCGCGTCGGCCCGATCCACATCTCGCGATCTCCCGCGCGATCGATAGACGCGATCAACCCGATAACGCGTCACGTAGCCCCGAGCATACAGAAGTGATCAAAGATCGTAATGCGCACTTCCGATCGGCGATAGACGATTTCACGCCTCTACGACGTGATTCAATCGACGTCGGTGACGTGCGCAATCGCGAGAAATATATACACATCAGTTGTTTTTTGGCAAAATGACAAAAGTTGCACTTACCTTAGTCCGGTTCAAGGGGTTCGAGAAGTCCCAGCCAGGTGCAACGAACAGATATCCACATTTGGAAATCTTCCTTGTAGCCTGAAACAAGAAATAACTTATGTTAGATTGCTTTTCTAAAAATGTATAGAGAATTTTTAACTAAATATTAATAATTTGACAGTCATAAACAAAAAAACAGCAAACCAAAAAATTCAGTACATATTACGTTAAGCAATTCCAATTTGAAACGTGATTATCGAGATAGTTAATAATAAATATCATAAATTTATGAAAAAATGTATGTAATAAAATTTATTATAAAGGAAATTGACTTCGAGTTGATGAAAAATTTTCCAAACGAAAAAATTGGAAATGATAATATTCTCTGTACAATAATTTTCCAAGATAGAAGCAAGATAGATAGCATTAAAAGCTGAAGAGACAGAATAAAAGGCACGAATCTGACATGCCGGCGCGTTATTATGACACGGCCTCGATTTCACGAGGCAGAAACCGATTTGTCGGCGCTATAGAGGACCCCTTTTTCTATCATGCACAGGAAACGCGGGGGTCAAAGATCGGGAATAAGAAATAGTCGCCGCTGCCACGTATCGTGTCCACAAAATAAACTTCCAGCGAATGGACCAGAAGCTAATCAAACTTTCGAGTGATGTGCCTATCCGCGGCGGGCCCTTCACTAAAGATCTGTTATTACTGTGCGGAGGAGAGTATTCACGGAGGGAAAAAAAACGTGATGTGGGTTTAGAAGCACGACGAAAACGATATGAGAGAGGAAGACGGAGAGGCGACAGCCATTCACATGGAAACGAGAGGCGCGTGAGTGGAAACCTATCGGCCGAGGAATCTTAAAGGCATCAGGCATTCATCGAGTGTGTGTATCGAGCATCCTTACCGATCACCCGACAACCACCGCTTCCTTTCTCAACACATCCGTTCCGCCCGTTTCCCTGTTTTGTGCTCGCACCGCATCACGGTATATTGCGGGAATAAAAGAATTCGCATAATAGCGCGGCTCAAGCTAAAATCTCCTGTGCATTTCCCAAGCGCCTTTCTCCCTAATTCAGCCGAGGTAAATGCGAAACGTACGAGCGGGCATACCGGTACATCGACGGTTTCATTAAGAGAGATTTGTTTAAATGGGAGCTGAATACCTTGACCTTTGCCACGCGCGTCGTAACTTGATTGCGTCGACCGAGTTTTGATGCAATCGCGTGCAACAAGCACGAATGAGCACACAACACTGGCAGTTGAATTTGTACATACACATATCGCTCATTTGCTGCAACAACAGTGACATAATTCATAAATCACAATTTTCCAGGAAATGAGTTTTAATGTTTTAAATCGTTATAATTGGATAAGAACATCATTTTGAAATGCCAAAAGTGTTATAATATCGTCATTACAAGCAAGAACCGCTCTTTCTATATCAATAATTTAAAAACGGTAAATTTTAAATTATTATTGTTGCAGCAAATGAGTGATATATTTGCAAAGACTGAAACTGAAGAAAAATTCAGCATTTAAATTGTCAAAAAATCTTACAAAATCTATTTGCTGTGACGTAATATTAAAATATTTGTCAATTTTTTAGATAATTTTCTTACATAATTTTTATATAACGTTACTCTTCTTTTATAATTTTTTCAGAATTATATAACTCCTTTTACAGCCAAATGTTTTGTAACATTTCCGCTAAACGCTTAAAAATGAGGTTCAAGCTCCGAAAAATTACCATCCGCTCATATACACTTATAGCAATCAAATTCACATTTGACGCGATTAATGCAAAAAAGGGAAGAAAAAGTAATCACATAAAATTATAATTGTGGTACAGCGAAGAGTACAACATCGATTTAAATAAATCTACGTCTTTGGCAACTCGGGAATTCAAAGAATCATCAAACGTGCACTTCTCCGCGGCAATCAGTGCGCAATAATTTGGCACTCGTTATATTACCTCAGTAGATAATGGGCGCAGTAGATAATGCCGCGTAGATAATGGGCATCGTAGCGCGGTTACAAGACGGAGCTGCGTGGCCAAATTGGCAAAAAGACCGCGCTCTGGCAAAGAAGTAATACGTCCGTCCGGCCGATTTCCCATTGCGTGGCAACCTCGAAACGAGGCGATCATCTTTCTCCCCCGAGAGAGCCGGGGCAAGAACGAGAATGCACTCGGCTTTATGGAGAAATAAAGGCAGGCTACTCGCCGTGCGCGCGCCGCGCACCGCGCCTCTTTCCTTCGGGAAAATTATGGCGCTTCCTTGTAAATGAAAGAACGGAGCACTCGACAAAAACACCTGATGCCTAAACACATGCCGGAGCCAGTGAACGAGCGTAGCTGAGCTTTTCATTGTGTGCGAGTTAAACAGGCGCGAGCACAATTGGAAGAAGATAATTCTCAAATTAAGGCAGACGTATAATTCTCGATGGGTTGATGCGTAAAAAATTCCGCGGTAAGTCTATCAATCGATTTTAATGAAAAGGGATAATTGAAGACTTCCAGAGAGAATTAGATAAACGGAGTAATCGAAGTTTACGTGCTGTCTTTTATTTATCATCGATTCTTTGGCAAATTTGTATTAAATTAAATTAATAGATTAAAAATGAAATACTTTTCTATAACTGAAACTTAGAAAGTGCAAATAAATAGTAAAAAATTTAACCTTTATTTAATTTCACGGCTTTATAATTTGAGAATTAATTAAATACATTTTTTAATTACAAAAATTGACATCTTTATACATGACTTTCCTCAACATTTTCACTAAAAAAAAATCATTAAAAATTTCATAAATAAAAGATAGCTTGCTAGATTTATGGCATTCTGCAGAGATTGGTTTAAATGTACAACTTTTTATGTCACTTTATGAAAAAAGACAATTTTAAATTTAAAATAGGCTTCAAACATTGTAGATATATTTCATTCTTGACTGAGTCGATCCTTCATTTAAGTAACTTAAAAAGATCGCTAAAAACGCGGATCTTCTCGATTCGCTGGATTGTCCATCGCAAATATTGCGAGTAAATAAAAACAGAGACACTTTCCATGCTATTTCATATATAAGAATGTCAAACGCCGGATTCACGGTCCAGTTATCTCGTCGGCCGTGATCACAACTACTGCTTACTGAGAAAATGTTTGCTGAAAAGCGCAAGGCTAAGCGAAAGTCGGCTCTAATGCTTGATATACTGATAACTCGCACGAGATGCCTTGCGAATCACTGATAAAATTCCATTTTTTTTCCAACAACTAAATCAATTTCAACGAGCGAGTACGTACGCTCTGTTTAACCGCTTTCCGTCCGGTTTGCGCGATTTCCTGTCGCTCGTCGCACGTTCACAATTAACTTCCGGCGTGTTGATTGTCACGTACGTCAACGTGAACCTAGCGAACCATAAACCTCCCTGTTTTATAGCATATCGCCAGTCACTAAAACGCATCGGCGAGTATCGTTATGAAATAATGTATTTTCTCTTTACGAAGACAATAGAATATATTATAAAAAGCTAAACATTGTATATTATATTTCCTGAATAATACATAATAATTTCACAAATAAATTCTTTTAACAGAATTTGTCATACTTATCAAAAAACCAAAATTGAAAAATAAAGATATTTTTTATAAATTCAATATAATAATTAAGATAGAATTAGATTTTAATAATTTAAGACAGCAGATTATGTGTGAATTAAATGAAAAAATATTTTATAAAATGTAAGCTAAGTATCAAAGCCAATAAATCTATAGATAATTGAAGAAATTGGTGTCAATTTCAAAATTTGATATGAAAATTTCATTATGTCTTAATCTGTGTTGTATGTTTCAAGGAATCGCACTAGAATTCATTCGACTTTTTCACGCCCGGAAAGAAGTTGTCCGGCCAATATCGTATTATTGCTTTCCGCGACGATCGATTAAGGATAATTCATGAACTCTCGCCTGTTTTTGCGCGGCTTAGCGCATATGCCTATCGCGACGTGTTACGCAATCGAAGGCACTTGTCTCACAATTGGTAATAATTGGACAGCAGGTCGCTGGCTCCCTGGCCGGGCAAACCGCTTCCTTCTGGTCGTCCTTGACACGCTTCGCGGAACGGAGTCCTTGCTAGTCCTTAAGCTCGAAACAACGCGACCCAGATCAACGCGCGGAACCCGCTCCGTTTCTAATCCTCTAATAAGGCTGGCGCAAACGTGCCTCCGCGCTGCAACGCCGTGGCGTAGGTGCCGAGTGATCGCGTTCTCTTCGACTTCTCGAAGGCGAGATTGCAAGCACGACGGAACGCGAGAGTTGCTTCGCGAGCTGCGCTTTATTAAAGCAATTAAAGGTCCGCGCTGCCACGTCCGCCGCCTCGTTAGCTAAACAGAGCGTGTCGCGGGCGATGCCTGTCCAATAAGAAAATCCCGTTGCGCGCATTAATCCGCCGCTGTGCGCGCATTCGATTCCTACGCGCTCGGAATGCGGAAAACTCTGTTCGACAACAGCTACGGGATTTTGCCAGAAATATATTATCTCTCCCCGAATTTTCTTCCTAGGACTCGCTCTTCGGAAAAGTACAACAATCGCAAATGGAATTAAAAAACGCTTCGTCATCTTCCAGGCTTTAACAAACTAATAAACTAGCACCTAACAAATAATAAAAACTATTTGTACCTGATCTTTATTAAATTAGCTAATTGTAATCAAGTTCTAAAGAAAATAATAATTAAATTAAGGATATTAATTATGATACAAGATAAAAAATATTTCTGAATAATTAAACAGAATTACAAAGTATTAATCTCTAGACAAATACATATGTAAAAAATGTAAAATACATAGAGCATACTAAATTTTCTCACTATAGATAGAGAATAAACCGGATAGGAAAAAACCGGATTTTGATTTGATTAGTTTTCTACAATATCACTTTAAAAGATAAAGTAACTTCTTATTTTTTGAAACTCTACAACTTTCCAACCTTCATCGTGCAAGTGTTTATTTTACTTCTTCGTCCATTTTCTGTCGTCCAGTGGGAAAGTTCTCTCATTGCATAGCCAGAACGGCTACCGCAATGCATATTCGCGCACTACGC